GGGGGCAGACGGACGAGAGGGAGCGCTACATCGGTGAGGGCCCCGCCACCAGGGCGCAGAGATCCAGGGGACCCATCCATGCCAGGGTGCGGGGGCTCAGGGGGACCCATCCATGCCAGGGCACGGGGGCCTTGGGCCGAGGATCCAGGCAGGGCAGGGGGAGCCCCGATAGTGGAGAAATGAGCACTGGGAGCTCTGGTGGCAGGGCAGGGCTGGATGGGGGCTTCCATGTGCCACTGTGCAGTGAGTGATGCCCCCCCTCCCCACAGCCCCCACGGTGCTGGCGGACGTGCAGCCGTCGGAGCCTGCCATGCAGGAGGAGATCTTCGGGCCCGTCCTGCCCATCGTCACCGTGCCCAACGTGGACGAAGCCATCGCCTTCATCAACAGCCGGGAGCGGCCGCTGGCCGTGTACGTCTTCGCCTCCAACAGCAAGGTGCGGGACAGGGATCTAGGGCGAGTTCTGGCTGAGGACTCACGCCCGGGGCCGGGGCTCCTTGCTGGAACCGGCCTTTCACCCATTCACTGCTGGGGCAGTGCGACCCACCACCCTGGGGCCAGTCTCCACAGGAGGACGGCTCTGCTTGGCTCCCCGCACTCCGCCCGGGCCTGCTCACCCCTCCCGGAGGGAAGCAGCTGTGTGGGAGGGGCTCCAGGCCATCTGATGTGGCAGCACTGGGGTAGCTGCGGGTGGGCATCAGGCACAAATTGGGGCTCCCTCACCCCCCATCTCTGCTTCCCCCTAGCTGGTGCGCCGGGTGCTGGAGCGGACGAGCAGCGGCGGTTTTGGTGCCAACGACACCATAATGCAGATGACGCTAATCTCGCTGCCCTTCGGTGGGATTGGTACGTCTGGGCTCCCAGCCAACCCCTGTTCCCTGCCCCCCAGCCTGGGGCTGAGCCCCTTAGGGGGCGCCTGGCTGGGCCCCGTGACTGAGCCACGCTGTGTGGGCAGGGCCCAGTGGGCTGGGATCGTATAGGGGGAGGGGGCGCGGTTGGGTCCCGTGACTGAACTGTGCTGTGTGGGCAGGGCCCAGGGGGAGGGGGCGCGGCTGGGCCGCGTGACTGAACCGCGCTGTGTGGGCAGGGCCCAGTGGGCTGGGATCGTACAGGGGGAGGGGGCGCGGCTGGGCCCTGCCCTGTGCCCGTATCCGAGCTGTGCTCTGTTTCTAGGGAACAGCGGCCTGGGCTCGTACCACGGCAAGTTCAGCTTCGACACCTTCTCTCACCACCGCGCCTGCCTCCTGCGCAGCATGGGCCTGGAGCCCATGAACGCCCTGCGCTACCC